CTCCCCAAAACCCCAAAACCCCAAAACCCCAAAACCCCTTCCAAATGAATTTTAATTGAAGTTAACCATCTCTTAAAGATTCCTGAAAATTTAATATTAATTGAGCTCTACACTGTTAGTCTTTCTTTCCTGCTATGCCAAGCTTAGAGCTGATATCACTCGAGATCTTCCTGAGCTTCTCTATCTCTTGTTCTAATCTTTTCCTCTGGACTCTCTCTTCCTCAAGTTCTTGCCTGAGCTTATCGATGTATGATTCAGTAGTCTTCTGGGAGGATCTTGACTTGATGCCATCTTGGCTTGACTTAGATTCTGATGCTTGAGTAGCAGACGTTTTGTCGTCAATTATACCTTCATCAGAGAGATCTTTAGGCTTGTTATTTATCTCTTTGGTCTTAAGATCTTGAACGTCTTTTCTTATATGAGTCTTTTGGTGAGATTTTGGTTCGATGTCGTTCAACTGATTTGATATCTTTTCTACCTCTTCCTCAGTCATCCTTTCGATTCTCTGGGTCACCTTGCTCTTAGCATTCTCTAGTGCTTTAGGTTGGCTCTGGTACCGATTAGTGATTTCAGATCTTTTCATATTCTTGGGATTTCTTTGAGCCAAAGTTCTAGAAAAGCCTCGTTCTGGTTGATTACTTTTATAGGAGCCTCAATCTAATTCCTCGTTGAACCTCCTGGTTTTCCTAGTCTTATTAATTGAAGTAGCAGGCCGGTTTGAATATAGCTTTCTTTTCTTATGATAAGTACTGCTGGCTCTTGTTTTGGATATATAGCCACCACCTGAGTAGATTGTCAGGGCATCATCAAATTCATCTTTGTATTTAGCTGTATGCTCTCTGAGATGATACTTATTGAATGTTGGAACGATGTAGAAATCATGCTTGGCTTTCAACTCAGCAATCCTCTTATCCCTCATCATGTTGGGGTTAGACACTCCCACATCTGGGTCATACATTGATGAAACGTCACCTATGAGAAAGAAGTTTTAGCAACTCCAAAGATTTTCAGCAAAAATCTAGAAAATACAGGAACTTTTGAGAAAAAGTTCGCAATTGGCATATTTCAGAACTTTAGGGAAGTTCTTACTTTTTTCATCTCTTGAGAGGACGGATCTCTGGTCATCTTCCAGATATAAATTGTTGTGGGTCCTAAACATTAAATTACTCATTGGTCCTCAAAAGTTCCTAGTTGGTGAATAGGTCTTTTCATCAGAAGAAATTATACCTAAAAAGCTATGTTTCGAGTAGAAAGAATAGGCTACAGATGAGATAGAAGGAAATATGAACTTTAGGGTTGTTAGAGAGTTATCAGAAAGACATTTTAGGGTTCGTACTTACATAGAAGAAAAGGTCTCTTTCATAACTCTTTGTCTCCAAGCTTGGTTATCAGCGTTCATTGCCGTAATTATTTTATTTTCACTGTGGAATTAAGGGTTTTGGGGTTTTGGGGTTTTGGGGTTTTGGGG